CGGCTGTCCGTAAACCAATCAATTGAGCCATCACCACTGTTTCCCAGGCCAGGAGCTGGAGCTGTGTATTGAACTTAGGTACTCAGATATGGGACATGGGAATCTTAACTGCTAGACCAAATACCTATCCCAAGGAATGTTGTCTTAAGACTTCCATGCTAAGAGGATGTCCAATCCAGCCTTGTGAAAATGCTACCTGGAGGAAAGGCCTTGTTCTCTGATTGAGATGCCCAGCCAAGCCTGTCTGTTCCCCGCTGACTGATGTGCTAAAGCAGCCACATGAGTGACCCCAGGTGAGGCTGGTGGTAGCCCCATCTCAACTCCTAGCATTGAGAGAAAAAATAGTCACTGTTTTAAGCCACAAAATATTGAGCTAGCATTATACAATAAAAGATATGATAGAGAGTAAGAAAAGATGATCGATAGGGACTTCAAAAAGTTTGTGGAAAGACAAATTAAAAGTTTCTTTTGGTGCAAAAAAATTTAAAAGATTCTGTAAAATTTTTATAGTACATTTTCATGAACTTCTTATTGAAGCCCCTTCTTGTATGCATGGATTTAAAAAGTTGTACCATAATAAGTTTATTTTAATTTCATTTTCAACAAACTTTTTGATGTATTCTTATAGTTGGACCATTTAATGTAGCATAGCAATATCTTATAAAAACATTATACAGCAAATAATGTTATTGTTTTTATCGGTTATCCTGCTTAGGTTTATGACTTATGAATAGTGCAGGATTTTCCTGTGTAACCAGGGGCACAGGCACAGTTTCCAGTTTTTATGTTGCACTGACCTCCACTCTCATAGGTGACACAGAGGAACCTACATTCAGGTCCCCCAGAGACCATCAAGATAGGCTTGTAGAATAAAAACAGAAAGAAAGGAACTCAAACTTCTTGTCATACATTTCAAGATGATCCCTGATTTCTGTAGCTTAAAAGAGTTAGAAAAGTGTGTGTGTGTGTGTGTGTGTGTGTGTGAGAGAGAGAGAGAGAGAGAGAGAGAGAGAGAGAGACATTGGAGTAACCCCCAAGGATTTATAGCACTCCAAAAATATTCCCTGAAGAAATCAACATGATGCTATTTCTTGTCACTTTGGAAACACAGCTACAGAGGTTCAACATTTTTGCTGAAAATGTGGTTTTTCAGACAGCAACAATGGAAGCAATTTTGATATATAACTTGGGAGGCAGTTGCACAGAACAAAACATGAAAATGAGATGTAATTTGTAAAGGAAGCTCAGGAGGCGTGGTTCTCGGGAAGCTGTCCCCAGATGTTTGCCCGTGTCCTGTTCTCCCAGTCTTTGCTTCTTTTGTAAGCCAGAATAATCATGCCAGAGGTCTGTAAATTGAGCATTACATGAGTGTACAATGCACAGGGTGAGAAGTGAGAAATCGTGTCCTGCTTTGTTGAATGTCATTGGAACTACAGAAGGGCCAAGTTATGCTGCAAGGTCCACTGAGGACTCAGAGGGTTCAGTGTATGTTCTACCATTGGTGCCACTGGAATTAGAAACCCAGTGGAAAGTATTTTTTTAATGCAGTGGAAACAGCAAAACTTTCCTAAACATGACAGTTGTGGGAGGTTACATCAAACTGAGCTGGGCTGTGAAGTTATCTTCCTGTCCTGGGCTGAATAACATAATTATTAGAATTATTGAGATTTTCATATCTGTCTGCTAATCACTTATTCTGTGCCAAGCACTTTACATAAATTACCTCCTGTTTCCATAAAAAACCCACATCCCGTGTGATAGCAATTTCATTTCCATTTTACAAGAGAAACAGAGGCTCTGAGATGTTAGTGACTTCGTCTGTGTCACAAAGCAGATAAGTAAAAGAGCTGGGATTTGAACTCCAGATCTTCTGGCCTCTGAAATCGGTGCTCACAGCGACTACACTCACCTTGCTCTACAATACTGTACTACTCAAGGTTGTGCATACTCCACACTTAAGGTAGATACATATTCAACACCTTTCCCATAAATTAACCAACTCCTAGAGACCTGGTAGAGTTCAAAATGTTAAATTCATGCAATGTGGAACTACTGTAACAAAATGATCTTTCTTATGATGACACAGGTGTTGTATAGGCCTCCACAGAGAGACCCAAGGGGCTCACTCTGCCAGAGTCCTCTCCATATGGAAGTCTGCCTACAGCTGGGGTTCAACATACCCAAGGCTACAGAGTAATCAAAACAAGGCAAAGACATTGGATGATTTTTTTGTTTGTTTGTTTCTCAGGTTAGTTGAAGAAACTAGCTCTTCTGTTGTTAGAAGTCACTGCTGATACGATGAATAAGGTCTGGTGTTGATTGTAGAGAGTGCTGTTCATTAGTGCCATTGAAACAACTTTCAATCTTTAATTAACTATTCATCTGCAATCTAGACACAGGTCTGGAGTTAAGATTTTTAAAGATATGTCTGGTTCTAGGAGCACTTGGGCTACTTCACTCTTTTGAAAAGGAGGAAGAAAAACAACAGGCCTGATTTTCATCATGCACAACTTTTAAAGAGCTCCTTTGGCTTGATTTCAACTGCCAATCACAGGGAGCCCATTCACCCACTCCAGTCTGATTCATAATTTCATTTTGTGGTTAGACAAAAATATCAGAATTGGACAAAGTTATCTGATTGAAAAATAATATGTTTTCCAGAGATTATGGTGACCTCTCTATTTTGCTGATTTACATATACTTTCAACTCATTTTCTTTCACAGTGGGAATCTCAGAAGCATTTTCCAATAAAGCATATTCAGCAGCTGTTTTAAGAAAATGTTATCAGAATAAATTAAATTTACCCAGGTGTGTGTATATGGTATTATCTCCTTGTGCACTGACTTCCAGGCATGACTTCTCCACGGGGGAAATGAAGAAGGGGTCAATCCTATGCTTAACATTCAGTTGAGGCAAAAGAAAGTTTAGAGAATGTCCTAGACCCTCTCTCAGACCTTATTAAATACATCTGTGTAATGCCACTCTTCTGCTTCCCCAAGTTCCATTCTCCATCACCTAGAAAGTCACGACCCAGTGACCCAAATAGCCCCCTCTCCACAAACTCCAGACTGGTGTCTCTGCTCATGTATTCCAGTTCCATAGCCACTGGACAACCCTAAACAGCCACATCCCCTTTTCCTTCAACTTGAGGAAAGCCCTGCAGACCCTCTGAAGACTGCAATACAACGAAAAGGTTGGACATTTGAGGGCGAAAAGACAACTTTCAGTCCCAGCGCCTGCCTCCATCTGTGGACTCCACAGCATGGGGGCTTCCTTCTAAGCCCATTATTTTCCAAACCATAAACAAGGTTGTCCCTTGGATCACCAAAAAGGCACAAAGTATCACAATTTACTACTAGCCATGATAATTTTATTTGTTGTACTGCTCAGAATTGCTATACATTAAAGAGAAAAAATGCTGTGAGATAATTTTCTCTGAATTAAAAAGTAACCAGTGTTTACTGCAAAGTACATGAGAAAAATATATAAAGAATGAAACATACCCATTTACGTACTGATTTAAAAAGTACTTATTAAACTCCCCTATATGTCTTAAGTGTTCCAGGAATTTGGGGATACTAGGGTGAACAACATTTACAGATATCCTTTCCCCATGAGGCTCAGAGCTAGCAGGAAAGGACAGGCAATACATATTAGACATAACAATAACTAGAGGATGCAGTATGTTAGAAGATGATAAGCACTACAGAAAAAGAAAAGAAGTTCAGGGAAACTTGCAAGTGAAATTTTAAGTAGGGTAGTACTGATAAGATTCAGTGAAAAGGTGATGTGAGTCTTTCTGAATACTGAATGAGCTGTATAGATAACTGGGAGGTGCATTCCATGAGTCCACAAGCCGGAGACAGCAATTACATTACTGCCATCTAGGCACACATGTTTTCCAAATTTTATATGCAGTGACATGCATAGAGATGAGGGTACTCAAAAAAATCCATGGAAAAATGGAATTAAAAGTTAAGTTTATTTGGTGCAAAATGTATGAAATCCATATATAGCTTTTCCATAAAATGCATTTTCACAGTTTTTAAAGACCCTTCATATGCATGGATTTCTTTCTTTTTTTTAAGATTTATTTACTTGCAAGGGAGAGGCAGAGGAACAGAGAGAGGTCTTCTATCTGCTGGTTCACTCTCCAAATGGCTGTAATGGCTAGGACTGAGCCAGACCAAAGCCAGGAGCCAGGAGCTTCTTCCGGGTCTCCCACATGGGTGCAGGGACTGAAGCACTTGGGCCATCCTCCGCCGCTGCTTTCCCAGAGCATTAGCAGGAAGCTGAGTCAGAAGTGGAGCAGCCAGGACTCAAATCAGCACTCCTATGGGATGCTGGTGATACAGGTGGCAGATTAACTTGCTATGCCACAACACTGACCTCATATGGATAGATTTCAAAATTCTTTGCACCTAAACAAACTTATCTTTTGATTCCATTTTCCATCAACTTTTTCACAAGCCATCATATATACAGATTACTTATAATTATAATCACACATGCCTAATCATTTATATTTATAGACTTATTTTTAAAACTATGTAGTATCTAGAAATTTGCTAAAGGACAACACTTATCACCATAGTTAAATTTTTCATGGTTGTGCATCTTTGAATTGTCATTGAATGATTAGTTTTTAAAAAGAAAATGATTGTTTATTTCTGTGGTCCAGTAGTGCCCTTGGTTGATTAGTTCAGCTCAAAGAAGTGGTTGCCTAGCTTTAAGTATTTTAGGATAAGAGAAACTGCAGTGTGATCTTGCTTGCATTGCTCAGGCTAGCAAAGGGGTAGTGAGCAGTGGAGGCTGAAAAGATGAGCTTAAGTAACTTCACTGCCTGCTGTGTGCATTTCCTCACCTGTGAATAAAGGATTACTAAAACTCACCATCTCCTGAGGACACTGGTGGATTAACTAATTAATAATCATACGATGCTGAACAAAGACTAAGCATTGTTAATAGAGAAGAAAGAAAATCTATCATCAGATTGTACCTTTCTGGCATCTGTTGCCTTGGTAACCAGGTTTGCAGGTGCAACTACCATTTTTGGCACTGCATTCCAGGGTGTTCTCCTCTACACACTGACATTCTGAAGAGCAGCCAGCTCCGAAGGCCCCCTTGGGACAGTCTGCAAGCAGATTGAGGCAAACTGGTCACTTGAAAACCATGCTTTGTTTATTTGAAATGGTTAGTGCACAGGCATGTCGTTCTGTGGGGCCTGATTATGAGGAAAACAAGGGGATCATCCTGACTGCCAAAAAAAAAAAAATAAGGAACAAATGTCTTTCAAATCAGGCAATTCATTTGCTTTTTGGCAACTGGATATGAACAGTGAAGCTTGAACTACTTAAAAGGCTTTGGTGCTTCCGGGAGAGAAATTGCTTCTCCATGTGCTCCATTGGTGCCTATAGTTAATATTCCCCAAGGACTGCTAAGGCTGCCAACCCCCATATTCATCCTGCCTCAGTATGGAGATGATGGATGTGCATTTATGTGATGGCTTGCCATTGTTTTCACTCCCTTTCATTATATGGTAATCGGAAATAATTTGACATTGGGCAGATAACACAAAGCTTTCATCATGATAGCAGCATTATCTTGGCCACAACTTTGGCAAATGGGACTCGCCTTCTCTACATTATTTTCTCCATGCCATGGGGTTTTAGAGATGGTGTAAGCACAGGAATTCTAAATTGAAAGTGGCCCTAAATTTGCATTCAGGAACCCACACCCATAACTTTCTGTTTGAAGACTTAAAATAGTTCGACTCCCTTTTCCAAGACACAATTCTTTTTTAAAAAATTATTTATTTGAAAGGGAGGGAGGATAAATATAGGTATGTATATACATGTATGTGTGTGTATATATATTATATATATATTTATATATATTTATATAAATTTATATATATTTATATAAATTTATATATATTTATATAAATTTATATATATTTATATATATTTTATATATATCTATTTTTTTTATATATATATATATATATGAGAGAGAGAGACATCTTCTACCTGCTGGTTCATTCCCCAAATACCCACAAGAGTTGGGGCTGAGCCAAGCTGATGCCAAGAGCCTGGAACATGGGAGTCAGGGACTCAAATACTTGAGTCATCATCTGTTATATCTGTACACATTAGCAGGACTAGAAACACAAGTGGAGTCAGGACTTGAACTAGGCACTTCTGTGTGGAATGTGGGCATCCCAAGTGACCTCTTAATGACTGTGTCACATGCCTACGCCCCAAAATATACTTCCAGCAGCTTTTTTCCCCTCATTTCAGATGGTCAAGAGAAGTCTTAAATGAAAGCTTTTCAGGTGTTCTCCAGCCTTAAGGTAATTGTGTTCTATGTCTATAAAGACTTTAAACGCAGAAAGCTGCTCAGAAAGAAGAAAGGAAGCCACTGGCCTTTCTGATGGACACAAAAGGATGTTAGGAGACAGCATTCAAAGCGGTGATTACAATGGCACCTAGGACTGTCTGAGCCTGGTGCTGGCGGCAATTCAGAGTTATCTCTAAAAGCAGAACAGAATTATTAACAGAATTCTTTTTCATTCATAGAATTACCCAAGTTGGATAACAAATTATATGAGCCCTCTATCATCTATTCTATGATGTCCAAGTTTTTAATTCTTTCTTAGAACCAGCAAGCTATCAGGTCCCTCGGAGTGTTGTCTGTTTGATATGGGCCTCTTTCTTCTCATTCCAGAATTCCTACCCTGCACTGCCTTTCATGCCGCAGTCTCAGGTTCAGCATGTAGAACTGTGGTCCAGGGAAGAACTCAGGCACAATGGAAAGCTTAACTGTGACGGTTGGATATATTAAGAACAAGTAAGTGTGGAAATATGCTTGGAAAAAGAGGAAAACAGGAAAAGTGGAAGAAGCGATGTCTATTGGCAATGCAACGCCTACCCAGGGTTTGTTACACATTAAAATACACCCTCAGAACTTCCATATGTTGTAGTTCCGATTTCCCAGTCCTTCAGAATGTGGCCATGTTTGCAAATGGGGTCACAGGACTTGAAATTAGTTAAGGTGAGGTTCGACTGGAATAAGACGGGAGTAAGCCCAACAAGGCTGGTTTTCTCATAAATCGGCAGATTTATCTGGCACACAGGGAGAACAGGCCAAGGAACCATCAGCTGCTAGGAGAGAGGCCAGAGGCAGATCCTGTCCCAGCCCCTTCAGGAGAGCATGGCCCTGTTGACATCATGATTTAGACATGAAGCCTTCAGAACTGTGGCGCAAAGTTCTGCCATTTAAGGCACTCACTCTGTGGTGCTTTGTTACAGTAGCCCTGGAAAACCAATATAGGGTTGTAAACGCAAGCTCTTCAGGACCAGGTAAGTGGCAGTTATAAATGAAGCCTCAAATCCAAGGATAAGGGAGACCCACAGAACCAGATGCTCCCCAAAGACACTCACATTCAAATGTTAGCCAGCAGCAGCAGCAGCAGCAAGGAATCTGTTTGCTGCATATTTTCCTTTGTCTCAACTCCTCGCTGCATGTAAATGAATAAACATTGGCTATGCTGATATTTTGCAAACTTCAATGCTATATGCTTCTGAAGAGTTAGCTCTAAGTTTTTGGTCAAATGTATTATGAAAAGACTTTTTTTGGCCAAAACATCTGGTATTTCCTTATATTCAAAAATTATGCATATTGTTATACTAGAGAAACAAAAATTCTTCTGTTGGCATGTTTTGGGTGGTATGTAATATTCTGGAACATACCACATGTCCCTCCATCACTCATACATACCTGAATTTACCCATCTATTTTATTTATGTAAATCCAACTTTTTCTCAAAATCAGGTTCCATTTTCTTTGTCGCCTACACTGTTTCTCTTCCTAGAGTATTCACAACTTATTTTGTGTTTTCCAGGGACATATCTTTAAGTAAAATAGATGACACTCATAGACATTCCAAAATCTCAAAAAGTTCATCAAAAGACAAGTTTATTTTGGTGCAAATTATTTTTAAATCCATGCATAGTTTTTTTTTTTTTGATTATATGCAGTTTTCATGAATATATTGAAGACCCCTCAGGTAAGATTCTAAATGGTGTCTGTTAATTAGGAGGTGGGCATGCTATTACTGAGTAAAATGGTCTCAGTGTTTGTGATTCTTCCATATCATATCCTGAAATCCTAACCCCTACGGTTATGGAATTTGGAAATGGGATCCTCAAGGAGTGACTGGACTCTCAGAGTGGAGCCCTCATGAATGGGATTAGTGCCCTCATAAAAGGCAAGGGAGCTCAACTGCCATGGAAGGGCACAGTGAAAAAGTACTTTCTATGACAATGAATATGCTGGGACTTTGAGCTTGAACATCCTAGCCTTAGAAACCAAATAAATTTCTCTAGTTTATAAGCTTACTGGTTTATGGTATTCTGTAGCCCAAATGTACTAAGATGGCAAAATTCACTCAGCAAAATTTTTCAGAGGAGTTAGTCCTTCAATAGAAAGAGGAGGAGCCACAGGTGTTTGGCACAACAAAGAAGTTGCTTGGGACATCTACAACCAATGTTGACATGTCTGGGTTTGTACCCTGGCTCAGCTCACTTATTCCAGCTTCCTGCTAATGCACACCCTGGGTGGCAGAATATAATGGCTCAGGGACTTGGGTGCCTGCCACCCACATGGGAGATTCATATGGAGTTCCTGGCTCCTGGGTTCAGCCTGGCCTTCCTCCCAGCTCTTGCAGGCATTTGGGGAATGAACCAACAGATGGAAGACGTCTGTCTGTCCTCTGTCTCTCTCTCTTCCTTTCAAATGTAAATGAAAATAAATCAATAAAAATTTTCAAAAAAGAATGGGATAAGGAATAGGTAGAGAAGTAGGGCTGACACCTATTCAGGCTGGCAGATAACTGCATATAGACAGCTTCACCGTGGGAAGGTGAGCGTCTTGGGGCACTCATTAGGGACCAGCTATAGGGAGCTCATGTATTTATGAGTGATGATGTGTGCTACAGTCTTTTGCAACATGATTGACGGTCAAAATGCAAAATGAAGAACCTCTTCTGGAAATTTTAGGGAATAGTAACACTTTCTACTCGAACCCAGAAATAAAAGAGAATTTTCCTTTGCTGTTGAAAATTGACCAATGTTCTGAAGGAACTATTAGCAATGCTCTCTCAATAATTAAACACTAGCAAAAAAATTAAAAATTTACAAATATTTTCATTTGCTCATCAAAATCTAGATTTTATAATTTAAAATACTGATGGAGTTGCTGGATTCAAAAGGCTTCCATAGCCTAGGCAGCTTATGTCAAGAGCCTCAGGTGGTCACTGATGTCATATATAAGTGCTGATTGTTAAATTAACAACAGGAGTCACTGTGCACTAAGTTCCCATGCAGGACCTCTGTCCTTAATGAGTTGTACTATGAGAGTTAATTGTAAAACCTGTTCTCAAAAAAGTTTTATGTGTGTGTATGTGTGTGTGTTGAAATTTTTACTTAGTATAGAGTTGGTCTTCTGTGTACAAATTTAATAGAAAATGAATCTTAATGGGGAATGGAACTGGGAAGGGGAGAGGGAGGAGGAGAAGTGGTAGAAGTGTGGGTGGGAGGCCGGGTATGGTGTGAAGAATGACTATATTCCTAAAGTTGTACTTATGAAATTTGTATTCATTAAATAAAAGTTTTCTTTGGGAAAAAATAAACAAATAAAATGTAAAATTGAAGGAAAAAAATCCTATTTTCATCCCCCCACAAAAAAAGAAGCTAAACACCAGAACATAATCATATATACATAGATATATATAGATATAGACATATAAAACCATATACCGTATAAAATATTTTTAATTCTTATCCTTTGACAAATTCTCTGTACGTTTCAATGCTGCCATGCTTCACACAGAGAGTAAACTTAGTGCCCGGGACTTACTCAGGTGACAAAACTTCCCGTAGCGCCCTGGCTTACACATACAGGCTCCATACATCCTGTGGCAAGGGCCGTTGTTAGCACAGTGACATTTCCTTTTGCAATTCTTCCCAAAGAATCCCACTGGACATCCTGGAATGTGGAAGGACAAATAAAATAAATATTAACTGACATGCCAAACTTCCTACTAGAGTGGCTGTTACATGAAAACAATGTGGTTGGATTGACCATACAGAGAACTTCTGAAAAACACAGATTTGATTCTATGTCAGCTTCAAATCTCATAATGATTTGCTATGGTTGTCAGGTTAAAAAATACCCAACTTAAGATGATGAGTCCCTGCACTGGCTGCCCTCAGATGGCACTGCTACACCCTGACTGCCTCTGATCTGCCCCTGGCCTTTCTCAGGTTCTGTGGAGCACAGCCCAGAATGCTCTGTCACACAGATTCCCTGTCTCATCCCTCCTTGTTCTGCAAACTTCTGCCTACGAGTCATTGCTGGAAGTCTCTCCCTGACTTGCCATTGGCCTTGTTATAGTTGTCTCATGTCCATCACACGTTAATATTTAACATATGAAGCAACATCAAAATATTCATGGCAAAAGGTATTAAAATGTTTATTTATGTTCAAAAAATTTTTGAAAACCTTCATAGTTTTTCATAACATGCATTTTCTACTAATTTTTTAAAGACCTCTCATATGCATAAAGTTCAACTTTTTTTTTGCATGAAAATAAACTTTATGAAGCACCCTTGGACCTACCACCATTTTAAACCTATGTTTGTCTTGAGCAAGACAGCAAGCTCCATGTGGAAAGGCCTGGATGTATCCTACTTTTTTTTTTTTTTTTAAATCATATCACAATGCCTGGCATCATTCTTCGCAAACATTTAATATATATTTTTAATAAGTAAATAAACATTGCTCAGAGAAATAAGTAGCTGGGCTGCCAGCAGGGACCTTTCTGCAGTACAGAAACCGAAGTAAATTTGGTTTCCATCTCCCTAGTTTCAGACTGTGAGAATCTAATAAACTCCCCATGATTTCAGACAATCCCTAGAGAGCTGTGTCCTTACTCACTCTCTGCCTCCAGCTCTTGTGCCTGTAAAAGCTGTTTCTTTTTGTGTGCTTTATCAACCCATATAAGAAATATGACCTCTTTGCTGTTTTCCACGAAAAGTCCATACACAGCCATCATTGGTATTTGGTGAAATCTTCACCCATCATTTCTCATCTTTCCTCTTTCTCTCTTCTCCTTGTCTTCTCTGATTTTCATTTCTCCCTCTCTGGTTTTTCCCAGAAGCCCCTTGTTTCTTCCTTTAATTATGCAGAGCAAATACATTCTCCACAACTCCTATACCCATACACACATCCACAAACTCAACGTATTTCTCAGCTGATGAAAAAGGCTTTCACTATCAGGATTCATCTGCTTAGATCGCGGTTGCAGATTTAGGTATCACTGACTTTGTTCTGTAAACATGTCTTCAAAGAAAATGCATTTTTTATATAAACTATCTTTTTTTTTTTAAAGATTGATTTATTTACTTGAGAGGCAGAGTTACGGAGAGAGAGAAGAGCCAGAGAGAGGTCTTCTATCCACTAGTCCACTCCCCAAATGGCCGCAACGTCTGGAGCTGGGCCAGTCTGAAGCCAGGACCTTCTTCCAGGTCTCCTATGCGTGCATGCAGGGGCCTAAGGAATCTGGCCATCTTCTAATAATTTCCCAGGCACATTTGCAGAGAGCTAGTTTGGAAGTGGAGCAATCCGTACTCAAATCAGAGGCCATATGAGATGCAGCGCTGCAGGCTGTGGCTTTAACCCACTGAGCCACAGTGTCGGCCCCCAATAACAGTATTCCTGTATATATATATATACATATATGTATATATATACATATATGTATATATATATATACAGCCTTTCACTTCTTCACCAAAGACTACCTTGCAATATATGGAAACAATTTTCACTTAAGTTTCTTCCCCATTAGAAACCACAAGAATTTAGAGTTTTCTCCTATGAGTGGCACCAAATATTCCTACCATCTTCACAGGTTTTCCCGTGAACCCCTGGGGGGCACTGGCACTGCCCAGTGAGATCACAGCTGCCTCCATTCTGACAACTGCAGATGCTGCCACATTCCTTCCCATTGGTCCCTGGGGAACAAGCTGTGAAGAAAACAGAAGAGGAACAAGCAGTATCACACACACACACACACACACACACACACACACATTTGTTACAAATGGATAGGGAAAAGCTTTCCTTCCTATTAGGACAGATACCAAGTAATTAAAATCTCAGAGCTTGCAGACCTAGGAAGAATCTCCTGCATGTTCCTGGTCTGTATGGCATAATCATTCCTGGGGGATTACTGATACAGCTAGTTAAAATAACGATGACGGAAGGAACTGCTAACAAGGTTCAAACACAAAATTTACCTTGTTCCTTAAACTCTAACCTTCACAGTTTCTAAGCTACCCAGATATCTTGCTGTACAACTCCAACCAACCATAATGAGAAACAAACTGCATCTTCTATTTTGAAGATTGGGAAGAAAATCCAGGAAAAAAAAAGTCATGTATTTTTAATCAGAAGTGAATGCAGCTAAAGTTCTCTTGAGAGTTTCAAGGTATTTTGCATAGTCAAAGATTGATGAAGTCAAGTAAACAACAGTTTTCTTTGGTTTGGAGGTTTTTTTTAGGGGGTGCCTCATGTTCAAATTAAAATAATCAAGAAAAATGTTGATTTTATTTTAACTTGTAAATATAGTTGCTGAGACAATTTCAGTAGTCATTTACCTGATATTTCATCATAGTAGGTTAAATGTCATGAAACTACAGTTATAACAATCTCCACCCATCCCTTCACCCCACCACTCAGTGCTACTATGAGGCTTGTCTTCTTACTCAGCTTTGTTTTTGGCTTTTGAGCCATAGGCTATCATGGGAGCAATGAAAAGAGGGAGGAAAACAAAAGGAAAAAAAAAAAAGAGAGGGACTGGAAACAGACATGTGTCAAAGCCTATGTTGTTATTTTACAAGGAGCAGGAATTCTTACAGCAGCTGCAGAATGGACAGTTGGGTCAGGTGTTTTGGGTTAGCAGGTTAAGCTGCTGCCTGCAATACCAGCATCCCATATGGGCTCTGGTATGTGTCCCTGTTGCTCCACTTCCTATCCAGCTCCTTGCTAAGGCCTGGGAAAAGCAGTGGAGAATGCCCCAAGTGCTTGGGCCCCTGCCACTCATGTGGGAGATGGGATAAAGTTCTTGGTTCCTGGCTTCGGCCTGGCCAAGCCCTAGCCATTGCAGCCATCTGGGAAGTGAAAGAGAGGATGGGAAACTCTCTCCCTCTTTTTTTCTGTTTCTCCCTCTGCTGGTAAATTTGACTTTCAAGAAAAAAAAAAAAAACTAAATCTTTAAAAAAATAAAGAATGGACTATTAGAAAAATACCTATAAAATAAAGCTCAAGAAATTTAAATGGCTTCCACTGTGTCAGGGTTATAACAAGTCATCAAGACAGGCAGACCATTGTTATTGTTTGACATTCTCCCATAAAATGGGATCTGGTATCAGACAGTACAAGGATTTGCGGGATACTCCATTAGCATCAGACAGAGAAAAGATTCAGAGGAAGAAAAAGCTACAACAAACATATCCCAAACCATAGCTGGGATGATTAGGAAAAAGGCATCAATCTTCCCTTTCATGTCCTAGTCCATTCATCTGTCATATGAAATTATTCCTCTTCTCCCTTTCCACTAGACTGAATTGCAATAATAAATGATTTCAATATGAAATCTCTTCAGAATAAATGGGATTCTAAAAATACGCTGTTAAAATAAATAATATGTGGCAATTTTTAAATTCTCATTATAATTACTTGGAGAAATTCTTAAGAAGTCAAAGCAGATATTTTCCCTATAGGCCAATAAAGATATTGAGTTAAAAGATTTACTCAAGAGGAAAAGTTATTTTTCAGATCTCTGCTGAATGTTGTTGTTGTTCTTCTTCTTCTTTTTAAATTTCCATTTCTGCATTTGAGGGGATGGCAATCTTAAATATTTGAGTGAGGAAAGAATGGTCACTTCTATCTATTGCAGTCTATAGGAATTTTAAGAAGAATATTCTTATGGTTTTTGTTTGGCACAGTGGTTAAAACTCTGCTTGGGACACTTGTACCCTGTATTGGAATGCCTGGTTTGAGCCCTGGATCCTCCACTTCTGATTCAGCTTTCAGCTAATATATACCCTCGGGGTCAGTAGGTGATGGCTTAAGTACTTGGGTCTTTGTCACCCATGTAGGATACCTGGAATGGGTTCTTGGTTCCCAGCTTTGGCTTAGTATCAGTCCTGGCTATTGTTGGCATTTGGTAAGTAAACTAGTGGATGAGAGATGCCTGTTTCTCGGTCTCTGTTTTCATGTAAATAAAAAAGAAATAATTGAAAATAGGGCAGATGTTTGGCTCAATGGTTAGGTTGCTGCTTGGGATACCTGCATCACAATCATGTCTGACAGTTCTGTCTATTCCACTTCTGACCTGCTTCCTGCTAACAGGCACACTGGGAGGCAGCAGGTGACGGCTCAAGTACTTGAGTCCTTGCCACCATGTGGGAAATCCAGATGGAGTTCCAGACTCCGGTTTGAGCCTGGCTCACCCTTTGCTGCTGTGGCATCCTGGAATGAACCCAGCAGATGGAAGAGCTCTGTCTCTCTGCCTTTCAAGTAAAATGAAAATAAATTAATTAATTAAACAAATTAATAGAAAAATGTGTGCAATAAATAATGGATATTAAAAATAAATTATGAAGCACAAAGATTTTGGGGTTGTATAAGAGACTTGGAGAGCAAACAAATAAATTAACATCATTATTTGATCAGCATCAATATGTGTTTACATATTTTAGAAAAGAAAAAAGAAGAAAAGCCACAAAACAAGAAGCAAGAAGCCATATTCAAACAATTCCATTTAATTGCACTTTGTAGCAAAAATCCTTTCCTTGTTTCTTCACTGGGAATAGCTTGCCAGAATCTAATGATTTATTTAAATGGAGGGATTTTTATAGGCCTAGAATATTAGGATCCTTTATTAACTTTTACATTTTGTAGATGAACAAGAGAAACAACAAGTGTCCTAGGGGACACAAAATTCTCCTATTTAATCACATGTTTGGTTTAAAATCTCACTGTTTCATAGGTATTCTTTATGCGTAACAAATAAATTGGTTTCTCACTCTTGTCAGTTGCTTACCTTGTAAAAAGATTAGAAGAAGAACACATGTAAAGGAGAAGTCAGTAGCTTGCTGGGCCTGTCCCAATTCTCAGGGTATCATTTCCTCCCACTACAAAGAAGGCCAACTCTGCCTGCGGGTCCCCTCTTGGAATCACCTTCACCTATGCAGTACTCATAGCTCAAACCATGACCACGTCCCAGGGGGTGAGCTAAAGAGACTGGACTATGATACCAGCTTAGCTGGCCCAAAACTGTCTATATAACTGAAAACAGAGATGAAATCCTTCATTTCCCAAAGAAAATTATGATCCTTGAGCATATTTCTTGAAGAGTCCCAGGAAAGGAAAATGACAAAGAGGAATCTTTTAAAAAAGAACGTACTCCATTTTTTTTCACAGTACTGGAATACAAACCGAAAGAATATTAGGAATCTTTACAAAAAAAAAAAAAAAACATATAAAATTACTATTGATTTTAGAATGCGAAAGTAATCAATGTCCTTGGCATTTTGATGTTTTCCTGTCTAGGCTTTTTGTATGCACATTGCTTTTTTCCCTCAAGTAAATCTTTTTTTTTGCATAAATCTTTTATTTACTTATTTGAAAGATGGGTGGGTGAGGTAGGGAGATCTCCCATCCATAAATGCCCACAATAACTGGGGCTGGGCCAGGCTAATTCACAAGCCGGGAAAGCTGATGTGGGTGGCAGGGCCTCAACTACTTGAGCCATCATCCTCTGCTTCCCAGAGTGTGCATTAGTAGGAAGCTGGACTTGGGAGCAGAACCAGGACTCAATCTGGGGCATTTGGAAATGGGAAATGGGCATCTCACGCAGCACCTTAACCACTGCACCAAACGCCTGCTCAAAGTAAACCTTACTGCAATGCAATGCATTTGTGGAGAAGCACACAAATTTCGCCTTCAAGCATGTTCCCGCAGTGTAAACAACTCATGAAAATGCCACCCAGATCGAGATCATTACCAGCAACGCAAAATCTCAAAGGTGACTTGCTGATTCTGTCATTATCCACACACACTAAGCATTAGCTTGTTTTCTATCACCACAGATTTTTTTTTCTGTAATCCTGAACTTCATTTAAGTGGGACTGTAAAGGATGTACTCTAGTTTTGAGTGTCTTTCATCAATACCATGGTTGATGTTATGTGCATCTTTTATGGCTGCATAGTGTCCTGTTATACAATCGTACCGTATGCATCTATTTGTCCACTGAGTTCCGGAGGGCAATTACCCGAATCTGAATTGGCACAGAGAAACTTGCACTTGATTGTGTATGGCTCATTCCATGTCCAGCTCTGTCCCTGTTCCTAAGACGGGCCTCTCAGATGTGCTGACTGAAATTGTCATTTTTACCAAGGCCTGTCTGCTTTGGCAGGCCCTGAGCTCCAGCACCTGCCTTCCCATCACCATCACACTGCTCACAACTGTGCTAAGCTCCTCACCCTCTTAGCAGGTGTCTGTTAGGTTTCTTGCTGCAGCCCATACATTGACTGTCGCTCCCCCTCTTCATGGAGGAGCAACACTAAACCCTGCCTAGGCTTCATATCCGAGTCACGGCACCATTATGTCGCTCCCCCTCTTCATGGAGGAACGACACAGGACCCTGCGCTGTTCTTTCGTCTGCTCGGCCCTCCCCGGGTTTGCTGCTGGTTCTTCCCGGGTTGGCTACTGTCCCTTCCACCTCCGTGGAAGGGCGGTTCCCCCTGGCCACTTTCCCCACTTCCGCAGGGGAGCGGCACACCGCCGGCCGGCTCTCTCGGGGGCTGCACAGGTGTTCCCCTTAGGTGTTCCCCTTAGGTGTTCCTGGTGCATGCCGTCTCTCTCCTCCTTTATAGTCCTCCTCCGCCAATCCTAACTCGGCTGCCCACACACCGAGTACGCTGCTCTCCTCCAATCAGGAGCAAGTCCTACAGTTTATTGGCTGAACTGGTGGCAGCTGTGTAGAAGCTGTTTTCTTCTCTCCCAGCGCCATATTGTGGGAGAGCAGATGCATAGAATAAGTCTTAATTCCAGTAACTTAGTCTAGTCCGAGTTGCTCCCCACAATTGACAAACGTTTCAAAGACAAATGCAGCACAGACCATTCTACTTGTTTCTCTTCTCGCCATATCGTGGTTGACCAAGTTCTGAATGTCTTTGTTGCCTGAAACTATTCCTTTTCTGATTTTGAGCAGCCAAAACATCAGGAGTTTATGTAAGAAAGATGAAAGTATTTCTACATTTGTGCTGAAGTATTTATTGATATTATTATTATGAGCTAACTGGAGCATAAAAATATTTCTATGATTTTACTGACTGCATTCTAAAGCAATCATCAAATTTGATGTTGTTAAAATACAACAAATAGAGGGAGGGAAAAAAAAGAGCAGCTCTGTTTTACAAAGAAAAGAAAAAGCAGCAGCAGACGTCTGTAGTTACATTTGATAGAGGTTATGCTAATTTATTTTGATCAGCAATGATTTGATGCTTCAGTTCTGTCGCTTGGAGATGTAAGAAAATTTGCTCACATTTTGAAGACATTTTCCTGGTCCACTTAAGCATATGAAACAATTAGTTCTCTACATTTTAAAATCTGGAAAGTAACTACATTTTAGACTAGTGAAGTTAGATTTTAACTATATAAATTAACTTCTAATGGAGTTTTCATAACAAAAAATATAAAGACCTGAGTAATCCTCATTTTGCTAAATTAAAGATAAATTTCAGTTCCATTTCCTTGTATCACACTCGAAGAGCATCCGTCTACCCTGCACTCCCAAACCTACAAATAACAACAGAGCATCCCTTCATTAAGCAAAAGAAACAAAGACAAAAGGTGATGGATTTGATAGGAATCTCTGCAGAGGCAATTCTCATCCTGCTTGTAAACCTCATGTTAAAATAGTTGATGGCATTAAAGTGCTGATATTGAAATTCCTGCAAAAGAATCCATGGGAATTATCTAAAAATAGAGAAAAGAGCTGAGTTTACTGAGGTAAATTCTTTTACTCACCTACTTTGTTCAAAGCTGCAAGTTCTCCTAGGCTCTCTTTTTCCTCTTCCTCCTCATCTTCATCTTCATAAATGGGAGTCTGAGAGGTGGCCACATGATAAAGTAATTGAAGCGGCTTTTTGAATAGAAGGCCTGGAAACCTCACAACTTCTAATTGCTCTTCCTTTTCCTCCAGCTCATCATCATCCAAGGCTAAGACCATACAGGAGAATGCTGGGTTTTAGGACGCTGGTTTAAAGAAGCAACATGGAACCAGGGCTGACAGAAAAAGGAGAGTTTGAAAGCCAAGGCAGGGGGTGACTGCAAGGCAGATGCTTTGAGATGGTTGCTTCAAAAGTCTGTTGTAAGTGAAGGTGAGAAGCTGTCAGCACAAAACTGAAACTGCAGCAGAGAGAACAAGAGAAAAAGAGATGTCACTTCACTACAAAAGGAAGCAGAAGACAAGTTGGGTTAAGGACAACGTGGTCTCCGTTGCTCCTGCAGAACACGATGAGGGTGGCAGTAGTTTAAAGAGAGAGGTGATCACATTCTTCACAATGACTTACAGATGCAAGTTTTCCCATCACTTCCAATTCTGTAGCCTTCTTCACAAGTACAGTCGTATGTTCCAACAGAATTAATACATAGTTGGTCACAGGCTACACTGACGCCCAGACATTCGTCCACATCTAGGAAAAAAGAAACAATATCTGCCTTTAGGTACTGTGAGATAAAGCAGACATCACAAATGGATGCACATATCTGGGATACTTTTGGGACCTTCATTAAAGTAGAAATGTCCTAACACAGAGAAGGCATGCCTGGTCCCCAGATTGTTTCTCAATAATATTACCAATGATTTTTCTTTCAAGTTTACTGTATTTCACCTGTATAGACACGGTCTTTCTGAGAACTTCTGCATGATGTTTAGACGAAGAACATAAAAGAAAATAAATTCAAAGTTTTCAGACTGTGCACCATTTTGCAGAAGGTTTATTCACTCTTGAATAATCCAACATACCTCCTATGTAATGGGACACTTATGTTATGTGTAATTCTGTACAAAGTTTAGAGAGCATTTTAGAGATGGGAGACCCTACGCCCAGGTCTCCTGACTCACTGGTTTGTGACAAAGCCTGAATGTAGATTTTGGTCAATGTGTTCCTGGTACTGAAAGTTCATATGGAGCAGAGCTTCTAAGCTTCGCTCAGAGTGTGGATTCCATTCCATGTGGATGTGTGTATGCGAGCATGTGCATTCACACTGTACAATCATATCTTGGCTCATTCTGCCTAAGAGCAGATGGTACATGAAATTAAAAAAATTATTTTTTGGCTCTGTTAATTGGATATAATGGTAAATGTTAATATACTCTACTGTGTTTAGTATATATAGATACCATAGTTGTGTGTTTTTTCCTGTTACCTCCACTGCAAGGCTAGGGGAGCTTGGCTATGCATATGAAGAAACCAGTGCTCTCCTCAACAGAATTCAGGAATTTGTTTCTTTAAGCAAAGAAGCATCATTTTATATAAGGCATTATTGTCATATATTGACTGTTACTGGAATAGAAATCAATCTTCTGATATTTTCCTTGATTTCAAGGAAATCGTCATTTCAAAATGATGATAATGATCACAATGTAACAATTTAAAAATTGTACACTTAAGGTAACTTGTAAAAGCAAACCGTGGCAACGATTTATAAGAGCTATTCTTAATGACATAATTAAAGTTGACTCTACTCATGGAGTCCAAACTCCTATATTTAAAATAAGAAATATGTAGGCTAGAATTCACCTGGAAAGTAAGTAAACTAATTTTAACAAGTTAAAAATTGTAAAATGACTCACCTTAGCTACACTAATATCAGACCTACAAGAATTCTGGTACAGATTTGGAGTTCATAAACTTACGAACTCACAATCTTTTTGTTTCTGCTAATTGAAAAACTCATTGGAAATGACTTTCAGTAGCCAACTTTCAACAGCAGTCAAGCTAGCCATGGGAGATTCCAATGCCAATGTGCTATAGCCTGCTGTAATCTCTCACTCATATATGTGTGTGTCTCTATATACACAAAAATGTCTATTTTTGTATACACACAAAAATTTAGTTGTGATTATGATCATCAAATATAATAGAAGTGACTTTTAGCCAAGTAGTTTTTATCTACTGCACTAAGTACTTCATATGTATTAATTTCCTCAATTCATCCAGGATTTCTATCACTGACATCATTTTACTGATGTGGATCCAAGGCTCATAGCAGTTAGAGATGCCCAAGTTCATATGAGAGCAAACGACAGCACCACCTAGGAATCCAAGTCCCTTCGTGTCAAAGCCTTCCCTTGTCCACACTCACTCTCCGCCTCAGATGTTCCTCCTCTATTGATTGCCCTGTCACATCAGTTAGATCTCAGGAATTTACCTTCACATCCACAACCGTCAGAAGTGATCCGAAAGCCTTCCTGGCAACTGCATTCATAGCCCCCTAAATAGTTGACGCAGAACTGAGCGCAGCAGGCCTCTCCATTCTGGCATTCGTCAAGGTCTGGAGGGGAGAAGGACACTTCTGTTACTGCAGACACAGGAGTTGCATGACCCTGTGGGAGCGCTGATAAACCTCACTTCTAAATGAAAACTGTGTTATTAATCGTTTTTTCTTCCTGAGGCTGCATAATGTAGACACTGAAGTAAACTGTAACACAAAAGTAATGAGGCTCACTTGTGGTTTACATTTCTTACATGCTTCTTATATGCTTGCTATTTATTTTAAAAGGATGTAAATAATCCCTGCGTGCATTTATAAGCACAGCAAAAGAGATCTCTGCTATTTTTACAGTTACACAGCAATCTGCCTGAATAAATAGAGAATTTGAAGAACAAAAAACAGCTTGAGAAAAAAAAAAAGAGCCAAGAAAGAAAAAATAATTCCATTTAGCAACGTTTGGCAGCTGCAAAGAGGACAGAGTCAGAGACTCCATCATGTGTTTGTTCTTCTAGAATTTCGGATCAAAGAGTGTTCCCAAGCAAGGAGACCTCAAACAACTGGAAGAGAAGTGATAACTGCAGTTCTGGAGACAGAGGGATGCTGGCTCCAACTGCTATGTTTTAGATTACAGAATATCTCAGCGCTTTTGCTTGAAGCTTTAGACGGTGACATGTTGACTGGCATGGGTGAGGTCTGCAAGCTTTGTTACTTTCTGTGTGACATCACCACCCTGGAACGTCCTTGCAGATGAGCAGTGCTCCAAAGGATGATGCTTCGGCACTATTATTCTAGAAGTCTAGGGTTCTGAGTGTTTCTTCTTAAGACACAATTGCCTGGGGGGGGGGGGGGGGGGGGGGGGGGGAATGAGGCACGCCAGAAGATGTCAAATGGAAACTCCTCAACCACAGAATCACCTCTGGCCTGAGTCTTGAGGTGCCCTCTTCCAGCACAATTGGACTCAAGCAGCAACACATCCCCCTGCTCTGCTCAGGCTGGACACCTGGGAGTTGTGTGGTCAGGGTTTTCAGCTCTGGGTCTTGGCTTCTTTCAGCCCACTCTGTTTGTGGAGCTGCTAAGTGGGGTGGCCTATCAGTGCTGAGTTTACAAAATCCCTTCGCCCCATAACTACGTGAGCAGTCACAGATTAAAAAAAGAAAAAAAAAAAAGGTCAATGTCTCCATTAACCTTGGAAAAGGCACCAACTCAAGGAAATGAAGGCAAGAGAAATGAAGGCAAGAAAATACAGTCAGTCAAACAAGGTGAGGGGTCACCATAAAATATCTAAATGAAGGTTGCTCAGACATATAGAAAAAATCCTTGCTCCTGAAAACTGGCACAAGCAGCGCTACTCAAACATTTCTGGATGATCTTTGTTTCCCTTGTTATATTAAACCTTTCTTTGTCCTTTGGATTCCATAGCAGAAACACTGAGGATAAAAAACTTTAAAACAATGGCTCCATTTCATCTAAAAATTACCCTTTATTTTTTAAAAAATTCCAGATTTTTAAAAAAAAATTAAAAACCACCAGAGTCTCCAAACACAGGTCTCAGAATTCCTTGTTCTCTACTAACAAGGAGTCTGGCTACAGGTTTGGAAAGTATCACATATTTGGAAAATAAATCAGTTGCTCTGTGCCTTCATGATTCATTTTGAATTGTTCTATTATCAGTCCTCTGGGGGCTATTTCTAGCTTATCCCATGAATGATGCCCCACCTAGAGCTAGAACTCATGTGAAAACTCATTCTTCCTCAATGTCCTGCCATTTCATTGCTTTTACATCACCTATTTCTTTAATTTCTTGATTTCTTTTCTGAACTTATTTGGTCAGATCTTTGCTTTGAAATTTTTTCCATTAATATTCCTCCTCCATGGTGTTAATATTTTACCTAAATTGGCCAATATTCATTATTGCAGCAGTGCAGAGACACATTGCACTATTCACCTGCACACCATAACATAGCCCTAATCTTAGGTAGAGCACTGATGGTAGCCAGGCAGATCAGGCATTTTAGTGCTGACTTCTGAACAGCAACAAAAGTGAAGAATTTGATTTTTGTATCTGTTGCGCAGTCACTGAATAGTCACTTCAAATGGTAGAAATAAAAAAAAATTCTAAAACTGGCCAATTCTTAAATTTAGTACATTCATTGCTGGTCTGATACTTGCATTTATATGATTGTCTTTCAAACTGTGTTAATGCCTCTCCAGGTTTTAACATTAACAAGTGTTTCTTTTTTTTTTTTTTCTTTTATTTTTTGAATTTGGGTAAGACTGGCCATTTACAACTTGACTGACTTATTTTCACATTTCTTTGTACATTCTGCTATTTTAAAAAAAGTTGATACTAAAATAATCTAAAGAGAAAAGTTTAAATTTTCTTCATGTGTAAATGATTTTAGCAACATCGAAGATCTTAATCTATTCTCAGGCAAATAAGCAAAGCATGTATATGTACATTCCAAATGAATCACAGCTTTTACATTAGTGGGTATTCGGTCTTTAGAAATGAATCAGATTTTTATTGTTCCAAAGTGAAATGAACTTGAGTCATAAACAATGTAACATTGTCATGCTGACTGCTGAATCTCATAAATATACAATTTTTTACATTTTGACCCTGGCAGATGTAGCTTTTCCTATCTATAAATAAATCTTTACTAAATTGTACTTTTGAAAGAAAAAAGAAAACCAAAAAAAATTGTAAGTTGCAAAGAAAAACCTTAGCAAAATTTTAGTTTCAGTTATCCCATGCCTAAGCAAGGCACACGGAAAGAAAGAAGATAGAGAATAAAGGAGGTAAGGAAGGAATAAACACTTTATTTTTTCCATAAATAAAAACATTAATCACTTAGGGGAAATATTAGCATACTTTTCATTACACAAAAAGAGGAAGGAAAGCAATTGGTTTCAATAGCCACTGTAGCATCTGACAGCAATGTAGAAGGAGAAACCTAAGTAATGGCATTATTTTGGTTTAAATAATTTATGAAACAAGAAACCACAGAATTTCTTGAGGCTTATTCTGTCTCATCATAGTGCCAAAATAAGAAAAAAAATCCAAATACTGAAACCACTGAAATTCACCTCTGAGGAAATATGCTTTAAGTTTTCTCTAACCATATTAAATACCATGAAATGGTTCAAAGAACCAAGCAAATGCCATATCTTAATTCTCGAATGATGGAAAATCACAGCTTTAGGGTCTTTGAAGTATTCTTAGAACCATAGCACATAGTCACATAGTTTGATGTTCACCATCTCTATTTATGGGAGATAGTTCTTTTCCTCAGATGCCCTAGATTAATCATAAACATATCATTATGAAGCAAAGCTAGGGTGGGATTTATTCTTCTCTTTGTCCTAAATGATATAATTTCTAATAATATAGTGGGAAAGCTAGCCATTGAAAATGAGTTTGAACAAGGATGTCCAAAGGATGATATTTTTAAAGTGTGTTTTGGGAACAGAGCAAGCTGTCATATCAAAGTTGAACATGCATCCCAATAATTACCAAGTAGAAAACTAATGACCATGATTTAGTTTCTGTTTGAGGCAGAGAGAAACTGGGTACAGGGTAGAATTTGTTGTTGAAATACAAATTACATGATAGTTAGGTCAATCTTGGAATATTACCCTAAAATAAAACTATAAAGTCCATACATTTTGTTAAAATATTTTAAACCTCCTGTAACTTCCAGGAAAATTTTTAAATGTAATCACTGTCAAATAAATGTTCTTTTATGTTTTTCAGATATCCAGAGGTACTGTCCTATCTCGTTCTCCCTGCAGTTTGAGTGACATGGTTTACAGTTACTACAGCTATAAGGGTTAGAGATAAAAAAGGGCTAAATGAATCAAGAGCAACTTATCAATGAAGACGGCATTTACCAAACATTACCTATGCATGTTTTCTCATCCTCATCAAGCTGGTGTCCATGGTTACAGGAACAACGGGGTCCACCAATAGCATGTTCACAGTGATGAGAACAACCACCATTGTTCTTTTCACAGCTATCAACAATTTCCAATTCAATCCCTTTCCAAACAAACAAAAGAGTTATTAGCATAACAACAGAGAAACCTTCATCTATGTCAACAATGGCCACACTTCCTCCATTGGGAGGGTGACAAAATTTACTGGACATTTATCAACACCCTATACATGTAAAAGTACAAGTTTGAAGCCTATGAAGCATTGTCAACATCTACACCATACAGAAATACTAATAGACCTAATAATACTGTTGATTAAGTGACACAAAAGCTAATAGTTGCCTACCTGTGGTTATTACATACTTATCTTAAAGCACAGTTGCTTTTAGAATTTTAATTATTTGCAGGGTATAAAAAATATGTGTATTGCATTAATGATCTGGAGGCAAATAGGTTATTTGCCAGCTGACATTTCTGTCTTAAGCTAATGATATCTGATTATGCATACTTTTGCAGGGTTATAAATACATAGAAATACTGTTAAAAATAGCTTTGGGACGAAAGTGGAACAAAAAACCAGTGAATTAACTGATCATATGTAACTGGTGTCCTGTTGGTGTGCTAATCAGCTTTCACGTACATGAGAGTTATTTACTATTAAAAAATATTATTATTCTGAAAACTAATCTGACAATTCTGGCATATACTACTAATCTAGGACATACTGGTGGGCATTAGCCTCAGCATACAAATGCCAATTGTGCTGAGTACATAGATTTCATAATCATTCACTATCTAAATGAGGAAATGAGAATTAAAAAGAACATTAGGAACCAAAGTTAAAAATACAGCATTTAGACTCTCTTCTATTTTTATCATTGGAGTCCGTGGACATTCTAAGAATGTCTACACTTACTCCTTTTGTTTCAGTCTTAACTCCTAAATTCTTTGAAAAAGAAAGATGAGAAAGATCAGGACAAGAGTATTTTGGACTCAAAAGCATGTATCGTCATTTAAATGGTCTAGATATCTGTGACAGTTACAGAAATCATCCTTCCTGGTCCACAGCCTCCAGCCTAGGGCCAGCTCTGTGCTCCCACTCTGTGCTCCCAAAGAACCCAGTGCACCTTGTGCTTATTCCGCTGCACCATCATCTTGCATCACCCAGCTCATAGCAGATGTTCAAATGATCAAATCAACAAAAGATGGATTATGCTAATCAATTTAGTGTTGCAAATAAGGACTCCTTCGGGTATCAAAACGGCTAATTTGGGAATGAACAAAATTATAAAGCCAAAGAAAAGTTTGACATAATACAGGCAACTGAAATTTTTTATATTATGTAATATATATCTTTAGGGAGACCTGTTTCAAATTATGTCTCTGATTGTAGAGGTATATATACATATATTGTTATGATACACAACCAAATTTTTTGTTACATGTGCTTATATTCTTACAAAAAGGCCTTTCTGAAGTATTTACAAATTATATTTGATATTTTAGAGTTCAACAAGACAACAAACATCAGTTTCTAGAGAGAAAAATGAGGTCAAATGAGTTGGAGTCACTTTTTTTTAAGCAGCATTTATTAAAAGCCAAGTCTCCTAGGTCAGTTTTTTCCTTTTTTCTTGTCTTTTATTTTCTTTTGCTTTTTAAGAAGAAAAAAACAATGTTCCTCAACAATACAGATAAGGGTTGTAAATAATAATCATATCTCAAAATGTCAATTTTGCTCATATGCGTTTATTTTGTACTCTATTAGTGATCAGGGAAATCATATAATATTTGTGTTTTGGGGACTGACTTATTTCAGTAAGTTTAATGGTTTCCAGTTGCATCCATTTTCTTGTGAAAGATAAGACTTCATTCTTTTTTTACATCCAAGTAATATTCAATGGTGTATTTGTACCACGTCTTCTTTATCCAGTCATCGGTTGATAGACATCAAGGTTGATTCCATATCTTAGCTATTGTGAATTGAGCTGCAATATACATGGGGGTATAGATAATTCTTTCACATGCTGATTTCATTTCTTTGGGTAAATTCCCAGGAGTGGGATGGCTGGGTCACATGCCAGATCTATTTTCAGGTTTCTGAGGAATCTCCGTACTTTCTTCCTTTCACATTTACTCTCTGATTGCTTTCATTTAGCTGAAGTTCAGATACATACTGTTTTAAAAATTTCTTTTCAAATGATGTTATTAGAATTAAATGATATTCTTCTAACTCCATTTGTCTGAAGGCCTATACTATGCAAAGCATCTTCATACTTGTTGATCAAATTATTGCAAGAAGACTTGACATGAAAATTTTTGCTTGGTAGACTAGAATTATGAAGGCCAGAAAGGATAAAATGTTTGCCCATGATAAGAGCTAGTAACATGGGAGAGATTTTAATTCAGAGAAGCTTCCTTACAAAATATCAGGTGTGAAGTCAAATTAATTTGACTAGTAGTACAACCTAGTTCACTGGAGAATAATATTTTTCCCAAGAGTGGAAGTGTAATATAGCAGAAAGAACACATAATTTAAATTCAGAAGAGCTGACATTTTTGGGATGTGTGATCTTTAGTAAATCATTTGTAATTCAAATCTCTGATTCTCAGTTTTTCCATTGTTAACATAAGATGTGAGTTACCTCGGTGTTTGAAAATCAGTAGCCTGCAGATTTCTGAAACTTGTCTGTTGAGGTGTTTTTAAAATTGCAAAAATTTTCATAAAATTCTGGCTTTCTATCATTTCTTCAAAAATGAAAGGTGCGTCATTTTCAAAATTAGAAATCTATATTACAGCTATTCCAAAAATTGTCACTTTCTTATAAACTTAAACATGCATATACTCGATGATCTTTCAATTCCATCCCTAGGTATTTACTGAAGAGAAATAAAAATTTATGTTCATGCAAAAAACCTCTATATAAATGTTTATAGTAGCTCTCTTCCTGATTGCTAAAATCTGGAGGCAACCCAAATGCCCTTTGACAGAAGAACAGTAAAGCAACTGTAGTACATTCACACAATAGAATACTACTCATCCAAAAAACAGAACTCTCTGATAATACAAACAACTTGGCTGAATCTCAAAGGCATTATGCTGGATGACAGGTTACACACTGTACAATTCAATTTATATAGAAAATACAGTACTAGAGAACAGATTAGTAGTTGCCAAAAGAAAGGAGCAAGGAAGAGGTGACAAGGCAAGCATAGTACAGGAGAGTTTTCTGGGGTTGAGGAACCTGTGCTTGATCTTGATTGCAATAGTGGTTACATAAATCCACATATGTGTTCAAATTTATAGAACTATATGCCAAAAAGTTAATTTCACTGTCCATTAATCTAAAAAAAATGAGAAGAGGAAGCTTTCCTTATAATGCACATTTTGCCTGCCACATTGCCTGGTTCCCAGCAGCATTCGACACCACTGTCTATTTGCCCTTATTTTGCCTTCCTGGAAGCACTATCCAGGTTTTCCTTATACCTTACTGGTCACATCTTTTCAGTAGTCTTTCCTGACCCTCTGCCATAGCTAGTCACTAATGTTGGAGTCCCAGTCTCAGTTCTCTGGTTATTCCTCCAGATAGCCTCACTTTGCAGATGATTCCACTCTGGATCATGGCATGACTGGCATCTACAATGGATTAGCTGCTCACTCCAGCCCTGACCAGGACAAGCTATAGACATTTCTATACAGTTCAACAAGAGATGGAAATTTCCTACCTGTTATCTTTACAGCTCCTCAAACTTTATATAGTGAAGAGGAAATCTGTAATTTCTGAACACACTCCCTGACCCATTGGACTCCACATTTTGATAAAGACATTTCCTTTCACCTGTTTCCTGAAACCCTGAGTCAAGAATCATTTTTCATTCCTCATTTTCTTACATCCACTACAGCTTTCTTCTCAGCTCAGCTTTGCCTAGGAAATAAATCTCAAATCTATCCTGACCATCTCTACTGCTACTAACTTAATTCAAGTCACCATCATAGCTCACCTGGATGACTAATGTTGCTCTCACACACACTCTACTGACTACTCCCTACAGAGTGGCCATATGGCTTTTTGAAATATGAAAACCATGTCACAGTAATCCCTGTTCAAAACTCAATGCCTTCTCGTCACATTGCCATGGTCTGTAGGTCCTGTGTCACATGACTCCTTACAGTTCCTGCCGAGTGCTGTGGCTTCACTGCCTATCTCTCCCTTCATTTACTCTTTTCTACCCTACGCTGGCTTTCTGTCTTGTGGACACATCAAGCTCAGCCCTATCTTAGGGTCTTAGGCTTACTGCTCTCTCTTTGGACCTTATCAGGTTGAATACTCTTATCCAAAATGCATGGGGAAAAAGTGCTTCATATTTTTTATTATTTTTCAGATTTTGGTATATTAGCATATTCATAATGAGGTATCTTGGAGATGGGACCCAAGTCTAACACAAAACTCATTTAGGTTTCATATATGCCCCCATACATAGGGGTTGAAGGTAATTGTACATTTTGACTGTGGTCTATCACATGAGGTCCAAGTGTGAGACTTTCCACTTGTGGCGATGTATCAACCCTCAAGCTTTGGGTTTTTTAGACCAGGGATGCTCAACCTGTATTATAATCATGAGAGATGACAGTACATACTTCTTTTATCACTTTCCATTTTCTATCTCCTCTCTGAGAATTTAATTTCCATAAAAAGAAGAACATTGACTGACTGGGTCATCATTGTGTCTCTGATGCTAAGATCAGTGTGTGGTATGTGATAGATATTCAGTAGATATTTATTCGTGAATCTAGCCACATCACTATAGTGCTGGTTCCTCTGGGTGACTGTTAGCAGGAGGAAAGCAGCTGACATCCTCTTTAGTCCCAGAGCTCGTTCTCCAGTTCAACACAGACCCCACAACTCTTGACTTTCTTACACTCGGCCCACTTTGCACATTTACATTTATTGCCTGTCATGTGTTGGTATTACAGTTTTCATTCCTGAATTGGACTCTATTTAAAGTACCACCAATTGCAATGTTTTCCAGATTGATCCGATTTTTCAGAAGGAAAAGCAGTAAAAATATCCATTTGAAATATTATAAAATATTTCAAATATTAAATATTATAAAATATTTTAAACTTCTATTTTTCTTTCATTTTCCTGTGATGTTGCATCAGTTCAGCTCTAGGAGTGCTGTTGATATTGAAAAAAAATTAAAACATTTTATTATTTGAGAGGCAGAGAGACAGAGAAAGCTTCCATCTGCTGGTTTACTTCCAAATGCTTTCATTTGGGGCTGGGCCAGATTTGAATCAGGAATTAAATCCAGGTTTGCCACTTGGGTGGCAGGGATCCAAGTATGAGAGCCATCACTTACTACCTCCTGGGATCTTTATTAGCAGAAAGTTAGCATCAGGAGCTGGAGCTGGAAATCGATGTGGGATGTGGAAACCTTAACTGCCAGGCTAAATGCCCACTCCCTGCTGATGGTAATTTAAATTAAATATAAATGACACTATGGTAACCTCATGAAAAATAGATGGGACTAAAACAAGTCCAAACTCAGAAGTAAGCTGAGATTTTGAGTCCTTGATCCAGATGATAATATCTTACTATCACACTTAAAAATAGCCATACTTAGAAAATATATAAAGTTTACAATTAACATGTATGGAACTTGTTAAACTATATTATGCATTCCATGGTAATTTGAGGGAGGTCTTATTTAATCAAGCTGTATTTGGGGTTTTCCAGTTTCTAAATTATTTTATATCACACTATGAGGATTTAATGATTACACTGTAAAATATTCTGAGAACTTCTGAAAAGAAATTACATAAATATAGAACACTGCCTTCCTGTAAAAAGGTAAAACAAGTATTGTCTAAAAATATACTTGTTAGATGAAGGGAACAGAATTCATTGCTAATCATTACCATGCTCTGAAAATATTTGGTCCACTTACATGTTTTGAAACAACTCAAAGTACCCGCTTTCACCAAGAAAGTTTGTATGTCAGTTATTAAATATTGAGGTATGGTGAGAACTTAGCTGAATAGTCACACAAATAAAATAGATATAAAAGTATACACCTACCAAATGTATTTAACTCTAGGGCAAACTGTTTCCCAAGTAAATTCTACAGAAAGCCTGTACCTCAAAACTCATTACCAATAATGACCCCTTTTTTATGATGAGAATGTACATTTTAAGAGGTTTTATTCCACACATTTATAAAATATACTCATTCTCTAAAACTCTGACAATTTTTTTTTAAAAAGCCCAAAATATTAATAAGAAAGAAAAACCTATCCACATTTCTTTCTGCCTGAGAGGACTCCTTAGGGCATTCAGAAAAAGACTGACTTCAGAAGAAGTTATAGCCTAATTAGCAGTCAATTTTTCTCTCACTTCTTAGTTTGCTCTTTAAAAGGCAAATATCACTGTGGCAAAATTGTAGTCTATAAGCAGTAGAAGTACACCAATGGACTTTAAGGCTACACTGGCAAACTAGTGTAGAATTAAAGAAATCTAGATTGTATGCAGGGAAGAAGAACGGAGAATTTAGTGAACTTAATACTGCCTCCTCCTTAGGAAGCTCAGGTAGAAGTGCTAAAATATTATTCCTTGACTAAAACAATAGACATAGAATGTACATAAATACATGAGACAGTTGAAAAGATAATGTTTGGAAGCTGAAAGATCCAGTTCAAGTCCTAGTTCAGAGAGAGAGAGAGAAACACTCTTATCTGCTGGTTCACTCCCTAATTATCAAGAATGGTGCAGCGGGTTGAGTCCCTGGCCTGAAGCGCTAGCATCCTACATGGGCACCAGTTCTAGTCCTGGTTGCTCCTCTTCAATTCCAGTTCTCTGCTGTGGCCTTGGAAAGCAGCAGAAGATGGTCCAAGTCCTTGGGTCCCTGCACCCACGTTGGAGACCCAGAGGAGGTTCCTAGCTCCTGGCTTCAGATTGGCACAGCTCCAGCCACTGTGGCCATCTGGGGAGTGAACCAGTGGATGGAAGACCTCTCTCTGTCTCTACCTCTCTCTGTGACTCTGTCTTTCAGTAAATCTTTGGAAAAAAAAAAAAAAGAATGGCTGCGGTTCTGAAGCTGGAAACAAGGTTCTCAATCTTTCTCCTCTGTGGGTTTCAGGAACCCATCTACTTGAGTCATCTCTGCTTTCTCCCGGGTTCTGCATGGTCAAAAATCCACAATCAGGGATAGGAGCCAGGATCTGAATTCTGGAACTTCAATGTGAGACATGGGCCTCCTAACTGACATTTCATACTGCTAGGCCAAAATCCTGTCCCTATACTTGTGTTTTTTTATTTGTCTTTTACTTGAAAAAACACTTTAACATGTCAGTAAGATGCCATCACTCATTGTGCACTCAAGAATTTTCTCTCACAGGACAATTATGGATTCTACCTGTCACAGATACCCCTACCCTCTTCCTCACCTTTCAGTTTGCCCTGTATTTGGAAGTGCCACATGCTGATGATCAACATGCTGCAGATATAAATTTTAAAAAAAAAAAATTCTTGAACTACTGGCATATTTATATTCTTTCAAAATTATCAAATGCTGCTCTCCTACCAAAACCTGTTCTGAGGTATATATCTGGGCTCTGAATTAACTATTCTAAAGAGATCAAACACCTGAAATTTGAAAACCAAACTGCCTCTCCTGTACTCTAAATGCAACTCCAGCCTTATCTTTCAGCTGCTCTAGCTGCTGTTGTACTACAGAAGTTGAAGCTTGTGTTTTGAACACAGCCACATTTATCTGCAAAGTTACAGGTATGAACTAGAGGAAGCTGGGAAGAAGTCAGGATGTGAAGATAGGGAAGAAAACCGAATTACTGATGTACTAAGACTGAATAGGAAGCAGAGATGGAGAAATAAGAAATCGGAAGAAATAAGAACACTTCTGAAATTTGAAAAAGAGGGGAAGAAGGAGATGGGTGAGAACAGGAAGTACTGATAGTATTTATCAGATAGTCTGAAGCTTAGTAAAGCAAGAAATGTATTCAGCTACAGAGTTTAGTAATAGACCTCTGGGAAGACATGAGAGTAGGAAACTCCAGCAACAGCAGTGACAGCTCAGCATGTTAACCTTTTACTTTCTCCCTAATGAGAGATTTTAAATTGCATAACTGAGCCTGGATGAAAAGGACTCTAAAGTTAGAAGACAAGGACCATATTGTTTTGAAAACAAGAGGTAAAGGGATGAGAGGGTAGAAGAGAAGGCAAAGTCGGAGGAGCCACTCAGAGAGGCACAGTGAGTAGCAACAGAGGAAGGGGAGAGAAAGGCCAGCATGGGAAGACACTCACGAGATGTGCCAGGCTAGGCACGACAAGCCAGAGCTGCTCCTTGTACTCATGGTGCCTTCATTCCTCCCAAGTTCTTTCCTTGAGTTTTACATTGGGATTATTTAGTATTCTATACATTTTCTATGGGAGAGGTGAAAAAGGAAGGCAGACTCTTCACCACTTCAAAGAGAAGAGCCCCAAGTCAGAGGGCAGGAGCCATCCCTTGCTGACCCCACTGTGTATCACCATGCAACCCATTTCCTGTGGACTCTGAGCCTCTGTTTCCTGGGCTATACAACACAGGACTTGGACTTCTGAGTCCCCACTGCCACCCTGCCCTAGTGGAAAATTCTTTTTTTTTTTTTTTTTTTTTTTTTTGGACAGGCAGAGTGGACAGTGAGAGAGAGAGACAGAGAGAAAGATCTTCCTTTTCCGTTGGTTCACCCTCCAATGGCCGCTGTGGCTGGCGCATGGCGCTGATCCGAAGCCAGGAGCCAGGTGCTTCTCCTGGTCTCCCATGCAGGTGCAGGGCCCAAGCAGTTGGGCCATCCTCCACTGCACTCCCTGGCCACAGCAGAGAGCTGGCCTGGAAGAGGAGCAACCAGGACAGAACCCAGCGCCCTGACCGGGACCAGAACCTGGGGTGCTGGCGCTGCAGGCAGAGGATTAGCCTATTGAGCTGCGGCGCAAGCCACCCTAGTGGAAAATTCTTAGGAAGCTTCTGCTCCAGGCAAGATCTTCAATGTTGTTTTTTGGTTTATTTATTACTCCGGTTTACTACTCGTAAAATATTACACATTTCCTGGGCTGTGATTGTTGTTACTTACTATAACACTGTCTTCCATCAGCTCCCAGCTCAAAGCCAGGGTGGCAGGCACAAGTGAAAGATCCCAGTGAGTTCACACAGCGATGGCCACAGTGAGCAAGCCCTTCCACACATTCATTTACATCTGCAGAAAGACCACACGGAGCAACTATGGTTTGGCAGCTCTCAGGAAGACTTCTTTGCACATTCCAAAAATGAACTAACCTCCTCTCATGTAACCCCAGACATCGTCACAGTAAATACCACAGATGTTCCATATTCTTTCTGCGAAGGGACGTTTGTAAATAAACCAACTGCTATGATATTACCTGAAGTGTTGGGCATATGCTCTTATACACTTCTATCTATTAGAACATGCTAGTATTTATTTTTTGGGAAAAAGAGAAAAGAAAATAAAACATGGGACAAATTTGCACTTTAGTGAGATGGGTTAAAGTAATTGTAATGTCTTTAGAAATATCTAGCACATTGCTAACCAAAAATGGCATCTTCACGATTTAAATTAGGCAGTGTATATGGCCATAAACAAAGCAAATCTGGGCCTTCATATATAACAACCCAAGGTTTACTTTGTATATAACTTTTACTTGGCAGTGCTATTCAAATACTGGTACCTTCTGTCTCTCAACACTGACAGTGCTATTTAGTGTGACTTCAGTTCTGTGGGTTAGATAATCTTTGCCCCTTCTCCTCATTTTTGTTTACTTATGTATTTAAAGGTTTTATTTATTTATTTGAAAAGAAGAGAAGAAGATAGGGAGAGAGATGAAGTGGAGGTAGAGGGAGGGAGGGAGGGATAGAGAGAGAGAGATTCTATTCATTGGTTCACTCCCCAAATGCCCATAACAGCTAGGACTGGGTCAGGTCAAAGCCAGGAGCCAGGAACTGAAGCTAGGTCTCCCATGTAGATGGCAAGGACCCAATCACTAGAACCATTATTTATTGCCTCCTAGGTGCATTAGCAAGAAGCTGGATTAGAAGTGGGGCAGAACTCAATCCTAGGCACCCCAATATGGCAGTGCCATAATGTCCAAGTCTTTTCTTTAAATGGATGGGTGGCATCATCTTCTTTGTGGCTAGTATTTATTGCTTGCATGTCCTACATGTCACCCTATCAGAGCACCTAAAATAACTGCTTATTCTTTTAATGTATTTTGAAAATGCTATTTGAGGGGCAGGTGTTTTGGTATAGTGGGTAAAGTTGCCATGGTCTGTGATGCCAGCATCCCATATGGGCGCCAGTTCACTTCCTGTCTGTTCCACTTCCTAACGAGCTCCCTGCTAATGGCCTGGGAAAACAGTGGAAGATGCCCCGAGCCGTTGGGGCCCTGCGCACATGTAGGAGATCTAGATGGAGCTCCTGGCTCCTGGCTTCGGCCTGGTGCACCCCTGGCCATTGTGGTCACTGTGGAATGACCAGTAGACGGAAGACCTCTCTCTCCCTCTGCTTCTGTAGTTCTGACTTTCAGACAAGTAAATAATTTTTAAGCACGATTTGAGCAGAAATTTGGGGGATGTATTTTCTAGGAACAAAGTATCAGATAGTAAAATGAATTACTTGGATATAGGTATATAGGTATGTGTCTAATCTATGAGATGACTTCAATAATTTCATGGAAATGGAATAAATGATGTTTATTTTGGTGTCTAAAAACTCTGAAATTTATGCATAATTTTTCCCAATATGCCTTTCCATTAATTTGTTTGAAGAGCCTTCATATTCTTCAATTCTGGGTCAAGAGATGAGCCAGGACTCCAGAAACAGAATCAAAGCAGAAATGTTCTATTAGAATCATGCTATGGGGCCAGCCTGTGGCATAGCAGGTTAAGTCACTGCTCGTGATGCTAGCATCTGAGTGCCAGAACGAGTCTCAGCTGCTCCACTTTTTTTTTCTTTTTCTGAAGATTTATTTATTTATTTGAAAGGTAGAATCAGAGAGAGAGAGAGAGAGAATCTTCCATCTGCTGGTCCCTAAATGGCCGCAACAGCCAGAGCTGGGCCAGGCTGAAACCAGGAGCTTGGAGCTTCTTTGAGATTTCCTATGTGGGTACAGGGACCCAAGTACTTGGGCAATCCTCTGCTGCTTCCCCAGGCACATTAGCAGGGAGCTGGATCTGAAGTGGTGCAGCTGGGTCTCGAACCGGCACCCATAAGGGATTGCTGGCACTATAGGCAGCGGCTTACCCTGCTGTGCCACCCTGTGTGCTCCACTTCTGATCTAGTTCTGTGCTATTTCACCTGGGAAAGCAGAATATGGCCCAAGTACTTGCATCCCTGCCACCCACAAAGGACTATGGATGGAATCCCAGTTTCCTAGTTTCAGCCTGGCCCAACCCTGGTTTTGCAGTCATTAGAGGAGTGAACCAGTGAATAAAAGATCTCTCTCTCTCTCTCTCTCTCTCTCTCTCTCCATCTCATCCTCTCCCTCTCTCTCAATTTTTCTCTGCCTTTCAAATAAATAAATCTTTTAAAAATCATATTTTAACAAAAGATCCACAGAAAATGTAATCCTCTTTTGGCTTAAAGAAGAAAAACACTAATTTCTTAAACATTAAATTGTCTATTTTTATTGGGAAGGCAGAGGGAGGGAGGGAGGGAGGGGGAGAGGGAGAGAGAGAGAGAGAGAGAGAGAGAGAGAGAGAGAGAGATCTTCTATTTACTAGTTCACTCCTGAAATCCTTGCAACAGCCAGGGAGCTAGAGCTAGGTCAGACTGAAGCTAGGAGTCTGGAACTCCATCTGAATCTCCTATGTGAGTGACAGGGACACAACTAGTTGAGCCATCACTTGCTGCCTCCCAGGCTGCACAATAGCAGAAGCTGTAATTCGAAGCAGAACTGGAACTCAAACACAGGCACTCTGATAAAAGATGTGGGCATCCCAAATGGCATCTTAACCACTGTGCCAATGCCCACCTCATAGCACTACATTTTATGTCTAATTCTTTTTCAATTTTTCAAATAGCTTATCAGTCCCCAAAGCCAGGAAACATTTTTGTATTTTCATAATTAATCCAAATAAACTATTTCTCATTTCATGAAAATGTCATGATAAAAATGAAGGATTCTGTGATTTCTCAGAAGTTATTAAAACAAAGCGTGTCCCACGGGATTGACTTCATTTATCAGCCCTGGTCATAGAATGATTTATCACTTTCATCTTTGAATTGAAGTATGTCTGTTTTGCCATTTCTAGGAAACAGAAATGTGTAACCTTGTATTTATAAGTTTCTTTCTTTTTTGTTTTAATTATTCCTAACTTCTGAGAGTACTCATTTGCACATAGTTGCTTTTCAAAGGTTATCCCAACCTTCTGTAGCCTGCAATAAAAAGCTCCCTGTGTGGTTATAGAAGGTTTTGAAATATTAATTCTGGAATTCACTTCAGAATGAAACAGAAAGCAAAGCATTAATTCTGAAACTATACTAAGTCATTTTTTTTCTATTGTAACTGAGAATTTCACTGAGTTTTTATATTATAACAAAAATAGCTTTCAGAATGATCAAATAAGAATTTAAATGTTCTTTTTCCAAGCATAAATGAAAACACCTTTTCTCCTAGCTGCTCTGGCTATTCAAAACTGAATTACCACAAAATTTCAAACAATTACACAATTCATCATTTTCAGCTTCCTACCTTCACAGGACTTTTTGTTTTCAGACAGCTGGTGCCCTGGGTGGCAGGCACACCTGGCCACGCCATTCTCACTCTGACATATGTGAGCACATCCATTCCCACCTGTGCAGGGGTCCATCTCTGAAAGCAATTAAACAGTGATAATTTATAATTCTTTCAGTTGAGAAAGATATATAGAGTGGAAGGGTAGACAAAGAAAAGTAGAGAGGGCACTGGATTTTTCAGGCAAAGATGTGAAAGACCCCTGAATGTCCCTTGTCACTTTCATATGAAACTCATTCAAGCAAAGCTTTTCCATTTTTGTGATCTGAACAAATTTAAATGTGATCAAAGTCAACAAGGAATTAGCTCAATGTCACTTTTCCTAGAAATAGATTTCCTTCCATCATATTTAGCAAGAACTCCTCCAGAGAGCTCTGCACTTTTCCTCCTTTTCTCCCCACCTTGTCTACTCCTGTAAGAAGTAGGATCATCCTTAGACAAAGCTTAGTACTTCATCTAGCTGTCTCTGCCTTTGGACACGCAGTCTCCGAATGAGGAAAAGGCAGACTTGAGAGACACGGGGGAGGTCATCCTGCAGTTGTCCTGGGAATGGGAACAGGCAAGTTCAAACACCATCATAATTATGTAAGACTGCCTCTTTCTTCCCTTTCGTGCTCCTGTTTTAATAAATCTTACTCAAATTCCTGAAAGTTCAAAGTCGTAGAAAGTCACATATCTTGTCAGCAGTACTTCTGCATAGCTTATCTGACAGTTTATGAAGTACATTATTCTGATCTGACTCTATGAGTCTTATGTTATCTACCTTACATACAGGCTGCTAGGGTGGGGTCACAAAATTTTCATCCCTGTCACTCCCTCCTGTTTTAATAAAATAAGGCAGAGTAGAAAAATTTTAACAGTATATATAAAATTGCCCTGGTTCCATATTTACACTATTTCAACCCAAACTCTACTATACACAAATATTTCATGCTTTCATGAGCTTTTTTTTTTTTTTTGAGAATCCTTCTATAGTTTCTTAATGAAAATAAAAGTAATGCATGACAATACACATGTGAGTCTTTGCACTTATTTGGATCTTTATTTCATATTTCATATTTTCCACTATGTAAGTTTTGTACTTTGCTAAATTTGTTCCTTTGCATTTTATTATTTTTGCTGCTATTTTGAATGGTATTGCTTTGCAATGTCCTTTCTGGATTGTTCATTTCTAGAATATGGAAATACAATTGATTTTTTGTGCTGACCTTGTATCCCACAGTTTTGCTAAAGTCCTTCATTAGTTCCAATATTTTAAAAATATATTCTTTTGGATTCTCTATGTGCCAGATCATGTCATCTGCAAACAGATATCTTACTTCCTGCTTTTCCAGTCTGGATGTCTTATTTATTTTCTTACCCTATTGCTCTGGCTAGAACCTCCAAGCCATTCGCAGGGAGCTGGATTGGAAGTTGAGCAGCCAGGTCTTAAACTGGTGCTCCTATGGGATGCTGGCATTACAAATGGCAGCTTTAAACACTACACTACAACACTGGTCCTTTTTAATTGATTTCTTTCACTTAGTAATATGAATTTTCTCCATGTCCTTTTCTAGTTTCAGAGCTCATTTCTTAATTTTAGTGCTGAATAAATTATATTTTCCAGGTATTCCATGGTTTATAAATTGACCTAACAAAGGACATACTGGTTGCTTCCCAGTTTTGGCAGTTATAAGTCTGGTCAAAACTCAAGTACCAATAAATATAAAAATCACTGCAGGTATATATTACATATATTTTGATCAAATAGAATTATATTAGAATGCAAAATAAAAACAAAGTCTGAAAATTCCATAAATTTAGAAATATAACAACACAATTATAAGATATTCATGACTCAAATAATGTACACCAAGGAAATTAGAAAATATTTTTAAATAAATGAAAACACTGTTAAAATGTGTAAGAGAAAACTAAATCACCATTTAGAGAATTGTACAGTTTTAAGTGCTTATGCCAGAAAAGAATGAAAATCACAAATTTATAAAGCAGAGAAAGAAGACCATAAAGTAAATAGAGGGAAATTATAAACATGACATTGATATAAAAAATAAACAATGAAGATAATCACTAAAACAAAAGTTATTTTTAAGAAAGATCAATAAAATTGACAAATCTCTCGTCAAACAAATGTGAGGCGGCAAATCAGTAGGGAATATTATGGATAATTTTTGCAAATATATCTGACATTTTGCTTTAAAATGCAAATATAATTCATGTATCAGTTTATAGGGAAATTAAAATTGATTCAAGCAGTAATGGAAAACTTAAGAAAGCTATTAAAAATTTTAAAATTGAATTCATAAATGAAATTTTTTGGCAATGGAAATGAGCCAGCCATGATAGCTGGGCTGGTAAATTATCTTGGATGTTTACCTAAGAAATTATTCTAATCCTACACAAACTCTCATGGAAAACTGTTGGGATGGAATGCTTCTTAACTCACTTTATAAGCCAGTATTACTCTGATACCAAACAAGAAACACTGACAAAAAATATAACAACAACAACAAAACCAATTGAAAAAACAATAGACCTAATCAGTTTAGATACCAAAGTACCAAAAGATTTCTTAACCGAAAATTCCAAGTTTTGACAGGAGGATAGAGGACCAGGTACACTCATATATTGGGTGAGACTATTATAAAGTCATACAACTCTAGAAGACAATATGGAAGTATCTCACAAGGTTAAGTGCATATTTATCAAATGACCTAACAATTCCACTCTGTGGTATTTACCCGACAATAAAATACCATTTAGTTATAAAAGGCTATTAATACATGCCACAATATAGGTAAGTTTAAAAACCATTCTGCCAAATAAAAGAAGCCAGACAAATGATTAGATGTAGAATTATTTAATTTTTATGACATTCTAGAAAACAGAAATCCAATCTATAATTATGGAAAGCACAACAGAGGGATTCCCTGCAAAGGTTAATACGGGATACTTTTGAAGTGATGAAAATTTTTCGTATGCTTATTGTGGTGATAGTTACATGATACATATATTTAAATGTGTAAAATGAATCACTACTACATTTTATTGAATGTAAGCTCCATCATTAAAAATTGAGTTCAAAATAATGAGAACAAAAAATAAGGGTTAATTTTTGTTTGATTATCTGTGGTTCACATGAAAGATAGAGAAATTGATATAAGTATTCCATTATTTCCATATGTCCCAGTGGATTTTGAGCCTCCTTCAGAGCAAATGCCACATCTTATTTATTCTGCTATTTAAAACCACTCAAACATACTGCTTAAAAATTAATATTAATGTTTGAAAGACCAATGTGGATAATTAATACTCTTCCCATTTTCTGTCATATGAAAGCACTGGTTACGACCTCAGTTATTTCCTATCTTTCATGCCAAGATAACCGTGATCTTGACTACCTGACTGATTAAGATTTGTTCTGTTTCTCATACTCTATCCTAGCTACTACCTTTTCCATGAAATCTTTCTCTATGATCTCAGTGACAGCTCTTATTATTGAAAAAAAGTAATTTTTCTTAAATGAGTTCCCTTACAACAGCACTTTTGAGGATGTTAATGTGTGTTAATAACAAAAGTTATTTTTTTTATTTTTAAAGATTTTTATTTATTTATTTGGCAGGTAAGAGTTACAGACAGTGAGAGAGAAAGATAGAGATAAAGGTCTTCCATCCCCAAATGGTTCATTCCCCAAATGGCTGAAATAGCTGGGGCTGGACAGATCTGAAGCTAGGAGCCAGGAGGTTCCTCTGGTTCACCAATGCAGGTGCAGGGGCCCAAGCACTTGGGCCATCTTCCACTGCTTTCCCAGGCCATGGCAGAGAGCTGGATCGGAAGAGGAGCAGCTGGGTCTTGAACCAGCGTCCATATGTAATGCAGGTGTCTCAGGAGGAGGATTAACGTACTATGCCATAGTGATTTCTCAGAGAATTCATTATGGTCATCTAAAATATGCAAGAGTAGTTAACTTTCCCATGCTTACTTGAACAGGAAATATTTTTATTGTGAACCAATTCAACAGATTAATTTTCATTGAGCAAGATGCTATATATATATGCTAAATATAAATATATATACATATTTCTGCTACTGTATTATATTAAACTCTAACAGATCAGTAACAGGACATATTATTTATCTTTGAATAGACAATAATTCTTTGACACCAGGGACCTGATTCATGCCTTGATATACCCATCCGTCTCAAATTTGTTTAGAAGATGCTTAATAAAATGTTCGATGAAAAAAGAATGTAGCTAGCAAAAATCTGGCTTCTAGTATTGGTGTGTCAGTTTCAAGGAAAGTGTTTCCTTGAATGATATTCAACAGATGCACTATGGTAGACTTTAGACACACAGAGGTGATTAGGACCATCTCCCTGCTCTCATGGAATATCCGTTCTGGTAGACAAGTAGATAGTGTATGAATACACAAATAAGAATGGTAAGTACATATTATTTTGAGGACTATGAAGAAAATAAAAAACAGAAAAGAGACTTCTTTTCTCTGTGTACATGTCATACACGTGGTTCATGGCAAGGATGTTTGGGATTTATTCTCCATCTCATAGAAAGCTACTAAAGGCTTTAAGTAGAAAAATGATAGGTTTCACAGCTAAAATTTCCACATCACCTGATTACTGGTATGACTAAAAGTAGATCTAGTTCATTAAGTAAATGTTCTATTTCAACATGGTCACCCCAGCCACACAGTATATATACTTCAATTGATTTATTTATTTTTTATTTATTTATTTTTTTGACAGAGTAAACAGTGAGAGTGAGAGACAGAGAGAAAGGTCATCCTTTGCCGTTGGAGGGTGAACCACTGCGGCCGGTGCACTGTGCACTGTGCACGGTGCACTGTGCTGATGCGAAGGCAGGAGCCAGGTGCTTATCCTGGTCTCCATAGGATGCAGTGCCCAAGGACTCCGGCCATCCTCCACTGCACTCCTGGGCCACAGCACAGAGCTGGACTGGAAGAGGAGCAACTGGGACAGAATCTGGCGCCCCGACCGGGACTAGAACCCTATGTGCCGGCGCCGAAAGGTGGAGGATTAGCCTATTGAGCCGTGGTGC